TTTAACCTCTGCACTACCAGGGAGGCCCGCCAGTGTTTGGCTTTTAACAAATGTCCTGGATATTATCAAAGGTCTTAACAGTCCAGCTGGTGAAAAATGGCATTTCACTTCAGTTCCGGGTGGCTCGTAGCTCTAGCCTATTGTCATTATTATCAGTACCCCAAATCTTCCTCTGATAGCATTCATGCCCCCAGGCTAGACCCTGTGAGTGGCTGAGAGGCAGGACAGGAAGGCTGGGCAGAAAGGGTGAGCAGTTTTGAGCTTTGAGGCTGAAAAAGTTTAGAAAACACTTTGGAGCCAGCGAGAGGATAGAATGCTCACTGTGCTAGAACAGCCCTAAATGGAAACTTTTCTTCCATCATGTGAGGAAGACAGATGTTACTATTACTACCTTTCTCTCTTATTTTATAGTTCAGAAAAATCAAAACTCAATGGGGACAAATTACAAGCCCAAGGTTGCTCAGCTACCAATGGGCAGGTCCAGGGTGTGGACCTGAGTCCTCTGAATTCTGAAGCCCCAGCTGGTCGCTTAAAGGTTGAGCAGAGAAGGGGGAGTGTGAGGGGGAGGGGGCCCCCTGTGGAGCCCAGGCTGGAAAGTGTCTGTGGAAAGGAGAGGCCTTCACTAGACCCTTCTCACTGCTGAGATGCTGGAGTTTCTGCCTCCCTCCCTCTCACCCTCTCCGTGTTTCCCAGCCTGGACAAATCTCAAAAACTTGATGCTAAAGTGAAAGAAGCCAGGCAAGAAAGACCACATGTTATATGATTCAATTTATAAGAAATGTTTCGGAAAATCTTTAGAGATGGAAAGTGGTGGTTATCAAAGCTGCGATGGGGAGGGAGATGAGTTCTAAGTAAGCGCAAGGGATGTCGGAGCTATTCCAAAACTCAGTGCTGGTGATGGTGCATGAGTCAGTCAATTTGCTATAAAACTCATTGAGTTGCACATTTAAAGCGGATGAGTCTTAACATATGCAAATTATACCTCGGTAAAGCCTTTTTGAAAGTAATGGAGGAATATCCAGTAGGAAGGTTCCCTCCAACCCCTTTGGGTTGGTGAGCCTGGGGCTGCTTCCTGAGGAGTGGTCATCCCGGAAATGGAGGCCAGTGATGAGATGAGGCAAGACTGACCACCTAGCCAACATGTAACTCCAGTTAAAAGCTGATTCTTGTAACAAAGGATGCAAAAACGTTCGCAGGCAGGGAAGCAGCAACCAGTGATAACCACCTCCTATTCTCTGACACGCAGATCAGGGATCACTTGATGTCTAGGTCTCACCACCCTGTCCTGAGACAACTGTTTAGAATAAGCACCTATTGTTGTTGTCTCAAGGGCCGGCCCTATGTCTTAGGGAACAGACCTCCTGCCATGGCGGTCTGTGGGTTTCATCCACAGCAACAACCTTTGAGCTCTACTGGGTGCCCTACTGAGCTCTGAATGCCTTCTATAAAATCTCACTTAATTCTGCCATCCCTTTAGCCAGGTAAACAGCTTCATTTTACAGATGAAAAAAATTGAGGTTCAGAGAGGCCTAATCACTTGCCCAATGTCACACAGTATGAGGCAGCATAGACAGACAGTCATCCTGACCTAGGTCCGGCTGACTTACACTACCCAGGAGCCATGTCCCAAATGCAACCTCCTCTACTTTTTTTCATCCCATCCCCCAACTCTACTTGGCCACATTCACACACACTAATGTTAGATTTGCATTTTGCCCTAGAATTTCACTGAGAGCTGATGTAAAAAATAGTGTAAGATGGTTAAAGACCCTTTGCCCCATAATTTATTGAAATGTTAATGAATTCGTCCATGTATGGTGAACTTTACATATAGATCAAATAGCAGATTCCTTCTAAAATTTAGCACCAGGATAAAGGCTTTGATGTAAGGGTTATTTGCTTATATATCTATAGTATGTGTGTGTTTTGGGGTGTGTGTTTCGGGGTGTGTGTGTGTGTGTGGGAATTGATGATACCATGTGAGTCAGGGTACCCCTTTGTCTCACCGGACTTCCTTGCTTCTCCAGAGTTAGAGCACACACCCAATTTTTTCATCCTCATCCTAATGGTTCTTTTACAATTTGCTCTTTGCTATTTGTTTTATTTTATTTTTTAATTGTACCCTGCCTGGAATCCTTCAGGCAAAGTTGTGGGCCATAAATATTTTATAAAGTGAGGTCATTCTTGTTTCCATCTAATGGGCCCAAGACTTTGCTCGCCTTTACATGGTTCTGTCTTTCACTTCACTGCAACCTCATGTGGCAGCTTCCTGCTCTGTCAGACACAGATCTTGTTAGCTGCTTGCCTTTCCCAGACTTTTTCTGGTACTTTACATACTTAAGACAAAGTAACCCCAGCAGCACAAGGCAGCCCTGATGAGGCTGCTTGTGGTTGTTCTAGAGGAAGGAGCAGATGGCACTTTCTTTTTGTCACCAGTAACTACTAGGGAGCAGAGATCAGTATTTTTCTAGAAGTACATCTGGCTGATGGTTCAAGATGTGTGTGTATATGTGTGTAAGCACACCAGATGTGGTATCTAGTGCTTATAGGACAGAGGTGAGTTTGCTCACTTGTTCACAAACATTTATTAAGCGCATACTGTGTGTTATTTCCCTTAAAGGCATCAAAATTGGAAATATTTAAAGTTCTGGGTTTTGGATTGGGTTTTAGTTTTCTTAACAACTTTACTGATACATACTTTACACATAGTAAAAATCACCTCACTAAAGTGCATAATTTAGAGTTTGGGTGTTGTACGCAATCACCACAATCTAACTTTAGGAATATCTCACCCCCCAGGAAACCCTGCACCCATTAACAGTGACTTCCTCGTCCTTCCCCAGGCCCCATACTTTGGGCAACCACCAGTCGACTTTGTCTTCATGACATGTCTTATTTTGGACATTTTATATCAATGGGATCAAATAATATATATATTTTTGTGACTAGCTCCTTTTCCTGCTAATATTTTCAGCACTTATGCACACTGAAACAGTATGGAGTTTCCTCAGAAAGTTAAGAATAAAATGATTCAGTATTTACCCGAAAAAAGTGAAAATACTAATTCAAAAAGACATCTGTGCCCCATGTTTATTGCAGCATTATTTGTAATCGCAAATATGTGAAACAACCTAAGTATCTATAGGTGGATGGCTGTATAAAGAAGATGTGGGGGCCCTCTCTGGTGGTGCAGCAGGTTAAATCACAGCACTGAGAAGCTATCTGCAGCCACTGCAGCACTAGTTCAGTCCCAGGTCAGGGAGGTGACCCACATGGTGCAACAGGCCTCTCCTGGCCCTGCTGCTCCCCTCAGTTTCAGATAACTCGCCTATTCTGCTCCCCACTCTGTCTCTGGTGACTCTTCTCCCTACATCCCAAACCTCTGGCCTATGCAATCATAAATAAATAAATACAATCATTTTCTTTTTTTAAAAAAAAAGATGTGGTACATGTGTATGTAAAATGGAATTCAGTGATCAAACAAAAGAAATCCTGCCTTTCAACAACATTGATGGGCTTCCTTAAGGGTATTATGGTAAATGAAATAAATCAGAGAAAGACAGTACTACGTTCTTACTTATACATGGAATCTAAAAAATAAACCTACACAAACAAACAGAACCAAGCTCATAGATACATAGAACAGTGGTTGTGTGTGAGTGGTTGTCAGAGACAAGAAATGGGAGAAATAGATGGAGTCCCGAAGTACAAACTTTCAGGTATAAAAATGACTAAATCCTGGGGACCTAATGTACAGCATGGTGATGATTGTTAATGGTGCTCTACGGCATATTTGTCAAGAGTGATGATCTTAGCAGTTCTTACAGTAAAATAATATTTATAACTATGTGAAGTTATGGATATTGAGCAGACTCACTGGGATGGTCATTCCATGTGCATACAAATATGAATCACTATGTTGTATACCTGAAGCTAATCTAATATTATTTGTCAATTATACCTCAATAAAAATGTTAAAGGATTTATCATGGTACAGCATTTATCATCACTTCTCTCCTTATGGCAAAAAACATTCCATTGTACGGATATTCTGTATTTTGTTAACCCATTCATTAGCTGGTGGACTTTGAGTTGTATTGACTTTGTGGCTATGAAGAAGGCTGCTTGCAACGTTCCCGCAAGTTTTGTCCTGTGATGCTATGTGAGGGAGTCCCCCACTAGACTGTGAGGTAGAGTTGCCTTGATGCTCAGATTCCCTTCTGACTCCAGCTTGGGGTCAGAAAAACAAGCTAGATAGTCCATACTTAGAAAGAGTTGGGGAAGGAAGAAAAGTAGGATAGAGAGAGGGAGGGAGGGTAAGAGAAGGGGAGGAGAGGTAGAATTTCCTTCTCACCTGTCTTCAAAGGAAGGGAGTGAATGTTTGCTTTATTTCTAAGGGTTCAGTGAGAACTCACCTTTCTGCCTCCTTGAGTTTGGGAACTTGCATGGCTTCTTCTTGGTTGTGGACTTCTGGGTGGGCCGGGCAGTGGTGGGGAGAATGTCAACTACAGAAAGTAAGCAAAACAAGTATCTGAGCCAGGTGACAGCAGGTGGCCACTGAGACAAAGCTTAAAACTACGAATTGAATTCAGGTACAAAAGTCCTCAACACTATCCCCTCAACTGCTTTACAGGGCTTTAGAATTTTTTTAAAATTTTGTAATAGTTTATTTTTACATATTTTTGTGCATTTTATCATCTCAGTTGCAATCCCCTTGGGTAGAAATTTTTATCTACTTCCCAGTTCTCAGATCTGTCTGAGGACTTGGGGTGGGGGTCAGCTTGATATGCTGGAGAGAGGGGTGTGGAGCCACACAGGCCCAAACAGAGCCCCAGAACACCTAAAAAACGCTGTGCAACTTGGCTGAGTCCTATCACTTGTCTGTCCCGTTTCCACACCGCTGAATTAAAGATGACTCCCACCGCTCTCTCCGCCTTGTGAGAAGTATGGGGGCAGCAGCATGTCCCAGTGTGCAGTAGATGTTGCTCCCATCAGCCAAAGGCCTTGAGCTGAAGTCCGAGTGTCTGAGCCCTCGCGTGCACAGCCCCTCAGCTCCCCCTGCCAATGCCTGGGCGAGCAGACCAGGCCAGAGGAGTTGGTGCCTTTTCTGCACATTTCATACAAGCTACATAATTGGGGATTTGTTTTCCTTTCAAGTGTCTTGGAATTATCAGGCTGGAGGGACTCTGGCTTAGTCTCAACCTTTCATTTCAAAGGGAATGCCAACAAGGAGGTGTTCGCCCCCAGTGGAGAGCCGGGGCTAAAGCCTCCAAACCCTCTCCTGACTCCTAGGGGGTTGCTCTTCTCTTTCTATCTAATTCAGTGTCACATGAAGAAGCCTGGGGCAGGGCAATGGGCCAGTGCACAGGACAAGTGCAGAGACCGGGGCTCGGAGGGGCTGAGGAAGGGGTGAGTTACGGTGGCCAAACCTAACCCTTGCTTTTGTGAGCTGAGAAGGCCATATCGCTGAAATCATTTCTGTGAAGTGGAGGAGAAGGAATGGGAGACACCATAAACTGAAACTGTCATGTCGAGAGGAGCAGGGAGAGGCAGCCAAGGAACTGGTCATTTTGAGGCTGGCATCTTCCATATGAAAAGTGACACGAAGCACCTCAGCAACATGAGCCTCCCTAGAAAGCGAAGATTTGCTCTGTCTGCTTCATGAAGTTTCTGTAAGAAACAACTAACTAGAATCAACACACACTGAGCTCTGCCATGAGCTAGTGTCTATACCACGCGCGCAGCTTAGGCTGACTGACTGTTGGAGGCAGGAACTATTTTCCACATCGCATCCCTGAGAAGGCCTGCACGCAGAGCTGAAACCGCCTGTCCAGAGTTGGAAAGGCTGTAAGCAGCAGGCATGGGGCCTGAGTGTAAAGACTGACTTCTAGACTCCCATTCTACCACACCACCTCTGGTGCAAATGTTTTCTGACAAAAAGTTAAACAAAAAGTTTGATTCAAGCCTCCATGGTCATCAGAGTGTGAGGGAAACCAATATAAGGGAAAAGGTCACAGGGCCGAAGCTGTGAGGAGCTGGGCCCTCCGCCAGCTTCCTGTTACCTCCTTTAACGCTCACGGCCCGAGAACAGTCCATCCTATCATGCGTGCATGGGAAGACCCATGGACAGTGCTGAGTCTGCCAGAGAACCTGCTCAGTGCCTGGCTGGACACAGTGGCCTGGTCTGGTGGTGGATGGTGGGGAGACTTTAACTTCTTCTTGCCCAGAGCCAGGTCCCCTGATTCTTCCTGACCACCTGGCACCCAGTTAAAACCTACACCTTCTTACCTTAAAAAAAAAAAAA